GGAGTCTGCTTCTCCCTCTGACCCTCTTCCCTCTCGTGCTCTCTGTCTCTCATTCTCTCTTTCTCAAATAAATAAATAAAATCTTTAAAAAAAAAAGAAAGAAAGAAAATTATGCTGAAAGTCTGTCTCCCAGAGATGTGATATCTTAACTGTACATAATCACTGGCTTTAGCCTATTTTGATTACAGTATGCCTAGAGAAGAAATCAGTATAAAATAGAGCTATTGAGACAGTCCTTTTAATATAGTTTGCTTTAGTATTGCCTACACTTTCAGCTTATGAATTAATTAGATTATTTATATTATGATATTTATTTATGATATTATGTTTATATTATTTTTCATGTAACTGCCATTGTTTTCACTAATTCAGACTTTCCTAGGTGTTCCCAAAAAGTAAATAAGGAAGGAGATTAAACCAATGGTTACTTAGTTTATTTGCATTGTCTGTATTGTGGTTGAGGAACTACTAGCCTATGGGTTGATTCCACTGAGAGATTAATTGACTCCTTTTTAGAATTGTGTTTTCACTTTGGCTTATAGAAATAAGAATGCGTTGAAATAAGAGTAGCCTACTTTGAATTTACTGATCAATGAGTCTATAATATGCTTGCATTAATATGTTTGTTTGGAAATATTGTGCCTGAAAAGTAGGCTTAAGGTGGCTATTTTCTACTGATATAGGCTTACTGGAGAAATCGAGCACTATTTACTCAAGTTCAGCAGAATCTTTTCTTCCTGGAATTTGCAAAGAATTGATTGGGTCATCCTTAGATTTTCTTGGACAGAGTTATGATGAAGAAAAAACCATGGCAGACAGCCTGATTAATAATTTTCTTAAAATTTATCACGGGCTATTTGCCATTTCCAAAGCTCATGAAGAACAAGATGAAGAAAGTCAAGATAACTGTAAGCAACCTTACTGCTTTTATTAATTTACATGAATGATTATTTTCTGCACACTATGTTTTCTTTTGAATGACTGTCACATTTCACATGCATTTTCTGACTATGCTAAAGTGTTTTAATGGTGATCATATATGAGTTCTTTTATCTGGAGATTATTTCTTCCAGTAATTTTCCTTCTTCTTTCAAAGTGTTCTCTTCTGATCGAGCAACCCAGGCATTTACAATCCAGGTCACATGTGCTTTTGAGCAGCTTGTGGTGCTAATCAAACATTGGCTAAAGGATACTCCACCTTGTACCAGCACAGCAAGACTTGAAGATGAATTGAGACAAGAGGTTAAAAAACTAGGAGGCTACTTACAATTGTTTTTGCAGGTAAATTGATTTGCTGATTTTCATTTGAAGAATTCATTTATTCAGCAAGTATTTATTGACCTGTCTGCATCTTCCTCAAAATTAGATCTGTAGGATTTTCAGAAGTGATTTCTGTTTTGCAATTCTGAAACTGTGGTTTTCTATAATTGTTTGTTGTTTATGGCCTCTGTGCCAGGCACTAAGAGTTCTCAGTGATTTACAAATATTAACTCATTTAATTCTCGTAACAACTTCAGGAGTGGATACTGTTACTAATCACCATTTTATAAATGAAGAAATGGAGGTGAAGGATATGTAGACTATCCAATGTTACATATATAACCGGTAAGTGATAGAGTTAGGATTTGAACCCAGGCAGTCTTGGGCCTAGAGTTCATGCTCTTTACTATGTGTATGCTACTATGCTAGTCCTCAATAATGGCTATGGGGAAAAAGGCAAAGTCTTGCTCTGGTTATGTATTGGGTTTCAGCTTATGCTGAATTAGTGACAAGCCCGGTGGTGTACAGGCAAGGAAAATATGTATTTTTTTCTGTTTACCTTATATCAAGTGAGATTAGACTTGGCTCTGAAGAAGAAGTAAGCTAAAAGCTTACTCTCTGTCATATAAAATCTGGAAGTAGGCATGGTGGCTCGGGTCCACTTCTTTTTTTTTTTTTAAAGATTTTATTTATTTATTTGACAGAGACATAGCGAGAGAGGGAACACAAGCAGGGGGAGTGGGAGAGGGAGAAGCAGGCTTTCCCGCGGAGCAGGGAGCCTGATGCGGGGCTCAATCCCAGGACCCTGGGATCATGACCTGAGCCAAAGGCAGATGCTTAACGACTGAGCCACCCAGGCTTCCCTCTGGTCCACTTCTTGAGATCCAAGCTCCTTCCAGTACACCCTTCTACCAAGCCTAAAGTATGGCCCTTTATTTCATGGTCCACCATGTTGGTGGAGCTCTGTCTGAGTTCAGTGCAGCAGGATGGAAGAAGTGACAAAGAAGAGAAGGGCCAAAGAGAAGGGAAATTTCTGGAAATTTCCATATGACATTTCTCTCTATATATCTTTGGCCAGAATTTCATCATATGACCATATCTAGTTACAAGTATTATTGGGGAATGTACTTTTTATTCTGGACAGCTATATACCTAGTGGAAAATCAAGGATTCTATTACTACAGAAGAAGTGGAGAATTTTATATTAGATAATACCTAGTCATCCACCGTTTCAGTGAACTCCTCCATAAGAATTCTTTGAATAGGGGCGCCTGGGTGGCCGAGTCAGTTAAGCATCCAATTCTTGATTTTGGCTCAGGTCATGATCTTAGGGTCATGAGATCAAGCCTTGTGTTAGGCTCTGCGTTCAGTGTGGAGTCTGCTTAGGATTTTCTCTCTCCCTCTCCCTCTGCCCTAACCCTGCTTGTGCATGCATGCACGTACTCTTTCTCTCTAAATAAATAAAATCTTTAAAAAAATAAAGAAAGAAAGAATTCCTTGAATATATGAGGGGAGCCGATATGAAAACACCAAAAGGGATAGGTTTCATTTTTTAAAATGGGTGACTTTGCTTCATAACAAAATGTTCCAGAATGTTTGAACAAATCTTATGTTTTTGCGCCCACCAAAAGACTTTCTACATTCTATTATTGTAGTAAAAGTTAGTTGTATCAAATACTTCCTTAGTGGGCTATTTACGTGATAGGATTTGGAAATGTTTGTTTGAGTAATCTAACTAGTCAAATTGAAATCAAATGTTTATTTTTAATTGTCCATTATTCTTCCCTAGGAGGTTTTTCTGGGTCTCCCCATGACTTGGTTAGGCATTTCTCTTATTTGTTTTTCTGATAATCCTGTACTTCACCTATAATGCCTTTTAATTTATATTTATAAACCTACACACCTCAATGGGCAGTAACCTTCGGGCAGTTAGAGGGGCTAAGAGTCCTTTTTTCACAAGGACTCATCATATGATAGATGCTCGGTTGGATACTTGTTACTGGGTTAATTATAAATTCACACTGGATGAAGGATCACTTTGGATATAAGCAGTGAGGAAAGAGAATGACCCTAGCACAGAGAGGTGGGCTACAAACAGGTATGGGTGAAGTGATAGATGAAGGAAATGCTCGGATAGCATAGAGCCATGAAAATGAAAGGGAAGGCTGGCCAGAGAGCAAAGCTGGGGAACAAAAACCTTAGAGTCCGACTTATGCTTGAGCCTGGAGAAGGAAGCTAGTTGAGGGGTTGTGGTGGAAAAGAGAGTGTGAGATATACTTAGTTGGCTCTTAGATTTTAGAGGCAGTTCAGGAACAGAAAAAACCCCAAAACCCACTATTGGCATTTGGAAATCCTTTTTGAATGCATGCTAAATTAGTTCTCTGTCCTTTGGCAAATGCTTAACTTTTTAAGTCTCCCCATTTTCTCATTGGGAAAATAAAAATAACAGTGCCTATCTGGCAAGGTAGAGGACCAGATGGATGGATGTTATAAGAAAGTACCTATTAGAGTAACTGGTAGGTAGTTTCTTTCCTTCTTTTCATTCTCTAGGAAGAACACTTTGAACTTAACTTAGGGGTTATGACCTATAGCCCTATGGGAAATGTTTTACGTAAGGAATCAAGGATGGAGAGAAGAGGTAACTTGAAGGGGAGATTAGACCAAGCTCAGGAGAGACTTAAGTTGGCAAAACTGAATTTAGTAACTATACTTCTTACCTAAGTGTGGTTTGAGAATTCCTACCTTGTAGCAGTATTATGAGGATGGCCCAGAAAGCAAGCCAAGAAAAGTATTCTGAAGAATCACTACAGTTGGCAGGTAACAGAAAGAAAAGCTTGGGGGGCACCTCCTCATTCCTCTTGGGCATGTGTACTGTGGTGTAGAAGCCTTTTGTTGAAGGGTTGTTTTTCCCCCTTTCACTTCCCTTTCCTCTTTCTTCTCCCCTGAGAAGAGAAAGTATCTTTATTAACCATCTTTCAGATGGCTACTAGGACAGGAAAAGTTCAAAGGCAAAAAAGAGCCACCATTTTTTCCCCTTTTTTGGTGTGGACCATTCACTTATTGCTTTTGTCTTCTATCTAGTTGATTGCATATTTGCCTTAGGTCTCCTACTAGGGTGTAAGGTCTTTGAGGGTAGAAGCTATATCCCAGTCATTTTATTATCGTTAGTAGCTACAGGGTTGCATGTTTTCTGATTCTAACTGAGATTTTTATGAAGCATAGTCACTATATCAATGAATGCAGAATTTGTTTTCTTCAAATTGCTTTTCCGGTCTTTTCTTTACCTCTGTTTGTAATCTTATGTATCTGATATACTGATCCATTTTTGTTTTATAGGGATGTTGTTCAGATATCTCATCAATGGTAAAGGAGGCTCAAAAGAAAATAATCCAAATTGTACAACAAGCTGTAAAGTATGTGGGACAGTTAGCCGTTCTTAAAGGGAGCAAGCTGCATTTTCTGGAAAATAGTAGCAACAAGGCTGCCAGTGTTCAGGTAATTTGGTAATATTAGTTTTGAAAGACTTCGTCTGAGGGAACAGTGTAGACTTCTGATAATAGTATCACTAAACATGATAAGCTATTTTTATTTTAAAATAGTTCATACTTTTAATAATTTGGCAATATGATTTAAACCTGTTTCAATCTAAGTTGGTTAAATGTACTGGATAATTCTGGTTCACTTTGCCTTTTGGATCTTTGCTTTGATGATAGGTACCTACTCTGGAGGGTTTGCTCAGCCAACCAACACATAAAGAACTCTACAATTCTAGAAAATTTGTATTTGCTTGCTTTAAGTATTCATGCCATTGAAAACATAGTATTATATTAGAATGTTACTGTAGTCTAGCAACACAGCGTCCTAAGATGACATTCTTTTTTTTTTTTTTTAATTTAAATTTTACTTAGTTAACATACAGTGCAATATTGGTTTCTGGAGTAGAACTCAGTGGTTCATCACTTACATACAACACCCAGTGCTCATCACTAGTGCCCTCCTCAATACCCATCACCCATCTAGCCCACCTCCCTCAGACAGATACCCGTTATTACATGTTATATGTGGAATGCTAGATTACAGATTTTCTTATAGACTGTTTTTATTCCAGCCTTAGTTGAATTTAATAAACTTGGAACTTAGTATTGTCCTAAAATAAGCAGAAAATATAACTTAATTATTTTATATATATTTTTAAATATAAAACCTGGGTTTTCCACTTAATGCTTAAAAACTTTTTCTAGGAGGATTTCATGGATGCTCTTTGTGATGGTGTAGGCTTAGGAATGAAGATCCTATTAGATTCTGGAGTAGAAAAAGCAAAGGAACTTCAGCATGAACTCTTAAGGCGATGTACCCAAAATGAGGTAAGAGGAATAAAAGAACATTCTATATAGTACCAGATGGTCTATAAAGTTGATTTTAAAAAAATAGTTTAATTCAACCAAATTGGATTCTTATAAATTTATGTATTTTAATTTGTGTCCGATTATCTTTTTTATTGAAAAGGCTGATTGTGATCATTATGTCATGGTGCTATTTCCCCAAGTTACTCTTGAGTTACTGCGGCCTCTGTTCTGTACTTTCGCTAGGTCTGTCAGTTATTGTCTGTGCGCAGTCTGTGGAGAAACTCCAGAGCAGAATGGAGTATGGTAGTGACATCTAGTGTTCACTTTCTGCTTGTCTGTTTCTTCCTCATCGTTTCCGCTTAAGAATGCAAACTACCGTTTATTGATCTAATATTTTAAACTAAATATTTTGCCAGAGGCATTCACATCTGTTATTTCATATCAAGGTACAGAATCAACAAAGATTTGAGTGACCTTCTAAGATATGCTTCCTCCCCACCCTCTCCAGCTAACTGACATTAAAGCATAAAACCAGTCGCTCTCTTAGAGGTGGCACTGTGTTTAAAACCTATCTGTCATTTTTCAGCGATCATTTATCAAGTCGATGCTCTGACTCTGTTTCTTCACCTGTCATGTGTAATAATACTTACGTCCTAGGTTGTGAGTCATTTATTTATTAAATAATCTCCCAGCACATGTATGAGGCTAGGTGCTCTACACAGAACAGTGGTGAACCTCCCCACTTTGCAAGGGAGGAATTATTTGTGTTCCTATGCATTTCACTGAGCTGCAGGACCTTGTCCAGTCGTCCTGAGCCAGGGTTTTATATTCTACCTACTTGATTGACTCCGAAACTCAGCATGCTACAAAAATCAGGTTTGTAAATCATTGTTCATGAAGTTAACTTTCTTTATTGAGAGTTATTATTAGTGAACTGGGGACTCAGAAGATGAGTTCCAATCTTTGTGGCAGTGAGTCTCAGAGCCCTGGCTGTTCTAGAATCTCGTTGTAACAACTTTTTGTTAAAACTGTCTCTGCCCTTTCCTGTCTTTTTCTGGAGTCCGTCAGCTGTGATGGAGCTGCCCGGGGGATATTGTGTTTGCTGACTCATCCCCACTAGGGTGGGTACTCATTTACATACATACTGATTGATCTAAGAAAGTCAGTCAGGTGGAGGACTGTTAGCTTCCACCCCTCTGACTCCTTTCCAGGACAGCATCGACTAAGTTAGATATTTTTTTTTCCTTTTAGAAAAAAGTTTTCATTAATGTGTGTCTAGTTTCCTTATCAGGGGAGAAATTTTCCATGTAAGCCATAGGGGATCTCCATCCCTTTCCTCAGACTAAAGGGCTACATGGGTTCATCTCTGCCCAAACTGGCTCCAAACTGGAAAACTACTGAACGTTAAATTGCCCTCCTACTTCCTGTGTAGCCATGAGCTGCTTACCTGGGCCTCACTTGTTTCATTTAAAAAGTGAGGATGGGCGCCTGGGTGGCTCAGTCGTTAAGCGGCTGCCTTGGGCTCAGGTCATGATCCCAGGGTCCTGGGATCGAGCCCCGCATCAGGCTCCCTGCTCCGC